TCCGTATTCTACTTTCCCTACCCCAGCCAGAAAGTTGAAGAACACTTGCAGCCCAGTTCTCTTTGATCTAGATGCTGGCCATATGCTGCTTCCCAGGATAATACCATGGGATTTTTGTTCTCAATTATCTCAGTTTGTGGAGAATGAGATTGTTAAGTCGTTATCAATGGCAGAGGAAAATTCAACCTCGGTGGAAGTGTCTGTTGAAGAGGTTGAAAACGACGAAATGCTGAATAAGTTATGGAGATGTGACCCAGAAAAGGAAAAAATAGAAGCCAAGAAGGCAGCCATGTTACGGAGGAATTCTTCTTATGAAGATTGTGATGAATTACAAGATAATATCCCATGTGAACTTAGCCGTGGCTCCCGCAGATCCATGTCTGTCTCTAGGTTGAACAAAGGGAGGATGCGGAATGTTGTGTTGTCCTCTGATTCTGAAGATGAGCCTCTAAATGACAAACGTATCTTAACTTCAAGCAGACAGAAGGAGAAAGGAATGGTCCTTGAAGACATGCAAAAGGATACAATTTTGCTTGCCAATACGTCAATTCCATCCATGGGGGAGATGTTAGAGGCAAGTTGCTATCTTTCTGAGATGTCGAAGTTCTCTTGCGCGAATGATCTGTCCCAGTCAGTTGACATATCATTGGTACCAGAATCATCATTTGTTCCAGAAACCGAGATAGACAATGGAGCAGCATTGTCACCCAGAGCAATATCATGTGGTCATTTCGACGGAGGAATGGAAGTGTCAATGAGTGAGGACTTCTCACAGAAACAACCACCATCATTTGACAGAGGCATGGACAGGTTTCATTTAGTTTCCAATTGTATAAGACATGAATCTGAGGTAATTGCAGAATCTTCTCATGGGATGGAAGTGGAAGAGTGTGTTGAAGAACATGCAGTGAATTCGCTCAGACAGTACCAAGTAAGTGATGAATGCAGCCGGATAGACTTTGGTAGGATAACTAAGGCTGTACAGAAACTGAAGGTTGATGCACTGAAAGATTCAGTGCAAGAAGCCTGGAGAAAACTCCGGTCCAATCATGCCAATCTCAAACCATACTTGGATTCAGAACCAATAGATGCTCCTCAAGTTCTTGATCTCACTTACCAAATAAGCAACCTACTTTCAGAAGCTGAACTGTCTTGTTCTAGATGCCAGGAATTCGTGAGTACTACTAATACTTCACTCTGTTTCTCTTTCCCAGTCTTATATCTTCACCATGACCCTGGGATTTTTACCTTATGGCATTTACTTTTTTCTAGGGATATTTGGAACCAGAGAAGAGTGGCTCTGGAGATGCGGACTCGTTTAGTTTTTCTGATGAATTCAACCAGATGGCTTTCAATGTGGCACAGCAGCGGTTTCACTTTTATGCAAAAGAAATCGCTGCCACGGTATCTGACCCTAGTTCCATGACTACTGCCGAGTTGAACCTCGAGTCACTTGCCCTAACAACTGATATGGTATTGGGAAGAGGGTCGAATGAAGACGAGGCGAGCCGGGGTTATGCCTGTTTGGAAATGAAACCAAGATCAAGTGAGGGCTTTAAGAAAAGGTATAATGGAAAAAACTGTGGTTCTTGCACGTATTTAGCATTCGACGATGTCTTTATCTATGCTTATGAGATCTTCCATCCCATAACTAGATATGATGCTTTTATTTGTCTAACGCAGCGAGAGAAGGTCTTGCCTTATGGGCGCGATGAAGTCGATTGTTCCTCCAAGATCATACTTGGCACTGAAAGGAGATGCCTTTCACGAGTACCTCTCTTTCTTAGGGCGGATTTCAAGATCCGAAACCTCTAACTTATCAGAAGCCATTCGGCAAACCAGACGGCGAAGGTCATTCATTACTCTTCTCTCTGTTTCACTCTCTCTCTCTCTCTCTCTCTCTCTCTCATATGATTCTAGGCATTAGACTCATTGATATTGATATTTGCTTATAATCATGTCAGATCACGACCGCCTCGGCATTATCTGAGCACAGGCTCAATGATGCTATCCCCAGAAGATATCGCACTCTTGGACCAACACAGCTCATACAGAGAGACACCACCCTTATGAAGGATATATCTTCCAGGTTGGTTTGTATAGGCAGTTTAATTAATCGATCCAGCAAATACTGTTAGATTAGCACATAGATCCACCATAGATACACCAGAGATATATAGATCTCATGGTTCCAGATTTTTATTTTTAATGCAAAACTGTTAGATTTATGTATTGTTTTCAGCCTCTGAAGGAATATACTGGAGAAACATTCATCTGCTATAAGCACAAACCCAAAAAGAAAATGTACTATTTCTCTATAATCTGAGGATGAATAAAATACCATAACTTGAAATTTCTTGTTCTTCTTTTTCTTCTGGGTAGATAAGGATGATCAAATGCACCATATCCCCCCATGTGTGTGTTCTTTGTAATGCATCTATTATCAGTCTTTACCTTCAACTTTATCAGTGACAAGAGGGAGTAATTCCATCTTGTTCCTCGGAGTACGAGGAGTCCGAGGGGTTCCCGGTGGTTGCTGGGAAAGCATGTGCCTTACATATCCGTAAAACGTGCAACCGACGAGCGTGATTCCGCATCCGACTGCATTCATTCCCGATATCGGGTTACGGAATATCAACCATGACACTAGAACAGCCACTGCCACCTGCAACACAAAAATGCATATACAGAAGAACTTGAACAATTGTCTGAATGTAAAAAAGACTACATGTGATGCCCAAACACTAAGAAATGTGAAACATCTGAATCTGCAGATTGACAAGTTTTAACATGGTTTCCGAGGTTATCGTGTCAGGGTGGGTACAGGTTGAGGCATACCCAGTTTCAGCCTCAACCCCCTCGGGTTTCTTGACTTAGAAAATCTGATCTCGGTCGGGTGAGGGATGAGTACCTTTTCAAGGTTTTAATACCCACTGCGAGGGGAGCAGTGAGGGATGAAGCCAGGCGGCAAGATGGAAGATATAGGTTTATTTGGGGAGCCAGCGGCGAGGCAAAATTGCCCGCATGAAATCATCCTCGACCCTTGTGAATTCAGGGATTTAAATTAATCTCCATTCATACCCCTTTGCCAGACTTGTCCTCTATCTCCTCTCCACCTCGACTCGGGTTACTCGCAGATATGAGTAATCACTCGGTAAAACTTGTGGCTCTGACACCACACACCTCGACCTCGAGTGAATACCCAAATGGCGGGTACACACGACCAGCCCTAACCCTAATTCTTTTTAGCAATAAATAAAAAGGATTCCTCATAAAAATGGCCAAGTTTTCAGCTGCATGCTCACACTGTTTGCAGTTCATCTCATCAGAGACAAAAAGTTGTAAGATTTATGCATAGAACATAAGCTCGAGTGACATCAATTTAAGCTGCTAAAAAGAAGTGGTTTAGGGTTTGAAAACTCAATCGATTACCTTCAAGTTTCCGGCCACATTGAATGTGACCGCCGTCGTGGAGTGAATGACATAGAAGATGGAGAAGTTGAGAAAGAAAGCCAACACTCCCGAGCTGAAAATGATAATGAGGGCCGAAGAAGGAGATGGGTGCGTTTGAAACCAATCCACTATTCCACTTCCTTCGAGCAAAAAAGCCGGTGCCCCGAGAATCATGGTGGCAAATGGTGCCATGTAGTACACTGTGTTTATACTAAATGGAGAGACAAAACAAGAATGGGGAGGGAAAATATATCAAAAATCAGATCTTTTTCATGCATAGAAAAGATATTGATCCATCAATTAGTTTTCAAAGGTACCAACAGTCTATGACTATGTGGTAGATTACATATCAGATATCCCCTGAGAAGATTCCAAGTGTATGCAGGCAAGAAATTCAAAATCAAACCTCAGAGAGATCATATCTTTCTCATGCATAGAAAGATATTAATCCATCATTAGTTTCCCAAAGACCCCGATAGTCTATGACTATGCGAATAATGTGATAGATTGCATATCAGATATGCCCCGATAAGGTTCTAAGTGAATGCAGGGAAGAAATTCAAGATCAAAACCTCAAAATAGAAGAGATATGAGAAAAAGGGCACTAACCTATCAAACTTGTATCCATGGAGAAGAGATTCAGCCAGAATGGTCTTTGTAGAAGTAGCCAGGCATCCAAACAAGGCAGCAGAGAATCCGAAGATGTTAAAACTAAGCTCGGTAACAGAGGTCAAAAGGATCCCTCCGACGATGGGAACCAGCGATGCCCAGATGCGCCAGTCGAAGTATTTCCTCCAGACCAGCCACTGTAACACAACTGCTCCAAACAACAACAAAAAAAACACACCCAGATGATCAGATTCGTCCAAAAACTAGAGAACAAGCAGAAACTTGATCACTTTTTTCAAAGCCATCTCTCAGTGGTTCAGACAAAAACCCAACCTGTGGTTGCAGGAGTGAATGATTTTATTGTCTGCATGAAAGAAACCGGAATGTAACGAAGGCTGACGTTTCCCAGTACTATGTTTACACAGAACACGAAGGACATTGGGAAAATTCTCTTCCACCGATCTTCGGGATCAACCACGATTAAAGGTTTAAGCTTTAGCACTTTGATCACAAGGTATGCTCCAATGGATGAACATATGAAGTGAACACACGATACAGATAATGGGAACTTGAAATCCAGTTTCTGCAAAAGTTACAGAACACATTTTAAGTTAAGATGTTATCCTCAATCTATTGAAGTTGAACCACAAATCAGACATAAGGGGAAGGAAAATTGAAAAGAATTCACATCAAAGTCGGATCAAAAGCAATCTCCAAACGCGAAATGGTGTTCAAATCGGAACGAACAGTACGACATTACAAACGTTCATATCAAATCTAGAACACGGTTCAGAACAAAATCAGAGAGGAAACGACAAACGGGGTTGGATTCAGCAGAGAACCGAACTGCGGAATCGGATGAAAAATGGCGGAAAACTATACCTGGAAGATCCATTTGTTCATGATGATAACGGTGACGTTGAAACCCCACCATTGGAAAATCGCTAACAGAGATCTGACCACACTCCACTGCAACAGATTACCGCCCTCCTCCATCTCTCTCTTCTCTCGGAGAAATTATGCGAATTACAGAATCAGAACGACAAAACAACAAAAACCCACCAAAATTCACAGGTTTTCAGAAGTGAATCAGTGCGAAAAGACACACAGAGAAAGGGGTATGTTAGAATTCAGGTGCGAAGCTAAACAGAGAAAAGGCGAAGAGGAGAAACAGCAAAAAGAAAAACCCTCATGAGAATTGGGAAGAGAAGAAGGGGTAACGTTGGAAGTAAACGCCTTTTCAATGTGATTTGTTTCGAAATCTTCTCTGTTCATCAATCTTAAACGTCTCTCCCTCTCTCGCTCCCTCGCCACGAAAATAATGTTTTGCCCTTTCGTAGGTTTCCTTCCATTAATGAAAGGGAAAAAAAAAACTTTTTTTTATGTGAATAAATTTTTTCCTTGTAATTTATAAAACAAGGAAGCCGAGAGTCTAGAGATGCATATTTTCTCTTATTTTTCCTATTAAATTTATACAATTATAATGGGTGGACCCCACAAGCTCCGAGGACATGGCAGCCGTCGGATGGACATACTTTCTCACGATGTTGACTGCAAATTTTTTTTTCTTGGCTTCTAAAAAATAGAATTGAATATTTGCAGTTTTTGTTTTAATATTGTAGATTAGATTTTTAATTTCTGAAATCAGAACAAAACTGAAAGGCAAAGTTATAATATAATGTAGAAAAAAAAGTTTCGAATTTAATGGTGCATTTAGGGTTTGGCAGTCAGAAACTGGCCTATGATTTAGTAATATATATACATATACATACACGCTATTCACATATATATATATATATATAATATAGCAATCTTTCATATATATATATATAACAAATTATTTATATATGGTAATTGATTTGGGAATTGTTGGACTTTGATATGTATCTAAGCTTTTTCTTGTTTTAGAAGATACATAAATATGCAAGTTGCATTAATCTCAAAACGTTTTGAATTTCGTATATAAATCAGATTTATAAAAAGATGATTTTTTTTTAGGTAGGGATGAAACAACAAAATCAAAATTTAACAATGTAGTTTATTGATATGAATTAAAGCAAGTTTTTATAGTTAAAAACAGACGATTTTTCAAATAGTCACATTGGTAATTACAACTTTGGTTAGACCATTACGCAATTCAATCCACATGATATCAACTTTATGTGAACAGTAAGATATGGGGAAATTAATTAATTAATTAATTGAAAAACTATAATTTACTTGCTTAAATATTAAAGATTTGAATGAAGTAGGCAGCAAGTTTCGGTTTTACCTTTTTTATTACAAATCCCCAAGTAGTTAAAACAAATGCAATTACGTATACTTTATTCATATATATATATATATATATGTTATATTACTACACTAAGCATAGATTGATTTTAATTAATCATATTTTTTGTTGGACCGATTTTTCTTAATTTTTCTATTTAAATAATCATATACACACCCAATTTGGATAGTTCGGTATATAAAATATATGTTTCATCCCGAATTTAAATATTTAAGGAGAGAGGAGGGCGTAATTCCAATCACATAACTTATTCCAGTTTTCAAAATTAGTATGGGTTTCAAACGCAGAATAGTCGTTTACCAAAACAAAAATCATATACACGTATACTTTTACATGTTACATATCCACATGTTGGTGTATACCTATGTATCTATGCATTGCGTATAGGGAATGCAATAGGTCAGTCTAAAACGAATCGTATATACGATCCTACGGACAGTATATACGAATCTTAAGATCGGTTTGTTTAAGATGTTTTCTGCGTCTAAACAAGATACAGAACTTCTCGCAGAAAGGCTAATCCAAGAGAAACGATCAATTCTGAGGATCTGAGATGCTATTTTCCAGGAAAATTGCAGAGATTTTCTCGGGAAAAACAGGGAGTGAACGGAAAGAGAAACAAAAGAACTCAATCTTTAGAACGGAGGAAGAAAAGAAGATTCCGACGCCCAGAAGAGCATTGGGAACTCTTATACCATATCAGGGATCAAGCCAAAAAGTGTTTGGCTCCCGAGAAATCAGAGGGGAAAATTTTTGTCTGAATTTCTTCAATGAATTTGGTCTACACTGTGAGCTTAAATACAGATTTACATGCTTGACATGATTATCCGAATTCGATGTGCACATCATCAAAGACATAAACCACATAAACCTAATGAATCTGATCTGCAAACAAACAACATTTTGTAAAAAAAGAATGCAGCAAATTAATACACGATCATCAGATGGCACCTTTTTCTCTGTTGTCATTCTGTACTCTGAGAAGCCACCAGTATGAGGTCCTATCATCTTCATCGATCCTCCTTTGCCAATGTTGAAGCCAGATGGAGCTGATATTCCCGTCTGGACAGATATACTCCATCCGGGTTTGATGATGAAACATTGAACTGTGAATTCACAACCCTCATCAAAAGATCAAGCCTTCATATAAAACATAGACTCAATCTTCACCAAGGAAAATCATTTCACATAAAGACCAAACAAGACTGGACCATCTACCTCGGAGAAACAGAACACAAGAGCTGTCTGGTTATTATTATTTACTACGAACCAGACATGCTTCAAGAGCAAAACAATCTAGAGAACAAGTAACTGTGGCATCCCTGCACAACATCGAGCAAAGGCGATGTCTGACAAGCTTCTTCAGCCGGACGGTCTATCCATCTCCCTAAAACCCCTTCTGCTAAAGCAGAAATCCGATGCTGCATCACTGAAGCGCCGATGGGTCCCACTAAGTTCAACCTTGTTGCTGCCGAGACAAGATCTCTCAGCGTTATAAACAAGTAAGCTCTCTGAGATGTCTCTGCGTCGATGCCCAGTAATCCGCAGATAAGCCCGAAGATGGGGGCATGGTGACAAGAGATGTTTTTGGACCCGAGAGAGGCGTCTCTAATGGTCTTGAGACTCGGGATCTCGGTGAATACTGAAGCAGCCACCCGAAACAGTGCAGATCCTTGAGACATGGATGCCTTTCTCGAGATTTCATTGGTTAAGGTAGCGTTAAGCATTTGATCGAGTTTGTGCCATGTCTCTATATCAGGAGATTTGGTTGCAGTGTAGACAAATGGAAGCAGTAAGCCACCCGTGTTATCCAGCACGTGAATGATAAAGGTTTCGAGATCTTCAGGGGATGAAATTAACCGTGATTGAACAGCAGATTCAAGACCAAACGAATGAGCAAAGCCTCCGGTTGGAAGAATGGAATCAAGCAATTGCCACTGGCTCCATTGCATACGAGAGGCTGTAGAGGGATAGATTCCGCTTCTTTCGTCTCCTTCAATTGGATCCGCCATTGGAACAATCTCTTCCTCAAGGACCATGGAGATGGAACAAAGGCTGAAGATAGCAAATCAATGAAGCATTAGAATCACACAATGATCAGATAAGAGCATCATTCTGAAAACATTCCGAGAATGCAAAGAAATCAACAAGACAAAAAACTGAAATCCAGTGATGCTACAGTTATGTGATTCTTTTCTATCCAACAATCCGAAATTCAAATCTCCAGTGAATCATACAACCGATCAAATGCGCAAAATCACCCTCGAAGATATCTACAATGAAAAAAAAAGCACGAATTCGATCCACGCAAAAAAGGAAACAGAACTCCAAAATCCTCCTCGTGACTATCTACAACCACCACTTCTGAGCGACTAAGCAAGAATCCAACAGACATCGATCGATTTCACATCCGACAAATGCGTCATATATGCTGAGGTTCCGTAAGAACTGAGGATACCTCATCAGTGTCCGAGAGGTGGAACATCGAATCGAACAACACGATGAAATTGAACAGAATCAGATGGAACAGCATCTAGAAGCAATACCTGTAGCGCGCGATTTCTCCTCGGCGGTGACAAAATCAGTAGAAAATTCGAAATCAACCGGCGAAAACTTTTTTTCTAGCGACAATTTTTTTTTTTGCGTAGCGACAACCTTTTTTTTTCTTCTAATTTTTTTAATTAATAAAAAGGGAAAATAAAAATAAAATCCCGCCCAAACCTCCCTCCGCCTCCGGCATGTAAAATTTGGCGCACACGCTTAAACCGTGAGGGAAGTTTTCTTTCAATTTCAAGAGTAACCCAGTAGGCGAATCAATCATTCGCACTCTCTCTTCACTCTCTCAGTGAGATTTTCTAGGGTTTCGTCGTTTGAATTAGTGTTCTTCGTTTCGTTCTTTGGGCGAAGCTTTGTTGCCAGATGGATGGAACTGTCTTGCAGCTCGTGTCAGATCTGGGTTCTCGTCTGCTTCAAACATCTCGTCCGAACAAGGATTTTCTCATCAAGTCGCTCCGGGTAAGTTCGTGTTTAATTCGGTAATATGAACTGGGTCTTTCGGTTCTGAATTGTGGTTTGATTTCACTGGTTAGTGGAGCTCAAATCCGCAATGGGTCTATCGAACATCTTGTTTTCTGAATTCGAACGAGGACAGATACTTGAATGTGTGCTTGAGTTTGAGCGATTTGCTGAATGGTCATGCAATAAGATCTGAATAACCTCGTTTCTCGCGAATGGGTATTTTCAACTTGTTTACTGGAAGCTTCTTGTTGTAATCATGGATGGCGAAACCATAGGTTTCTTACCAGTTTATGAGTAAATATGGTCGTTCTTCTTCATGATCCCTGCGGGGTGGAATTTTGGATGTGCCCGTTTGAAGAGCCCTTTCTTGTTGTGTAGTCAATATCGTTGTATCTATTTTGCATTGGACACAACACAAAATGTTCCATGGGAACAATTCACTCTGTTCATTGTCATTTCTCTCTTGCTGTTGTCCTAATTATAGTATTGTATACTTACACCTGTGTCTGTAACGTTGCAGCAAGTTGTTAGTAATTTGTCACAGATCGAGCAGCCTGTAATTAATGGAGCTGCCAATAGGAAAGAAGCTCTGAAGCCATTGGAAGCTGCGATTAAACCTCTGAAGAAATCCATTATAAAGCATGGCCTTCTTAATCATCGTGACAAAGAAGTTAGACTTTTGGTTACGATATCTGTCAGCGAGATTTTTCGGATCCTAGCACCTGATCCACCTTTCGAAGACAAGTATCTCAGGGTATGAGGGTTCAAAGATCGTGCATATATATGCACTCGTTTCTATATATGCATATCTTCTATGCACGTACTCCAGTTTTCGTTTTTCCATGTATTAAATGTAATATTGTGATTGTGGTTCTTTTTTTTTTAGTTGGCACACGGACTTGTGTGCAAGCTGCAGTAGTTAGTTAGTATTCGCTTTGGCTTCTCAGGTTATCGTAACATGACATGTCCTGTTTCAGGATATCTTCAAACTGTTTCTCAGTGCGTTCTTGGAGTTGTCTGATACAGCAAGCCCTTATTTCTCAAGGAGGACTAAAATCCTGGAAACAGTCTCTCGGTGTAGGTGCTGTGTGATAATGCTGGATCTGGATTGCCAAGATTTAGTTAATGAGATGTTTAACATTTTCTTCTCTGTTGTAAGGTCAGGATTGTGCTCCCGCAATTCTTTCAAGGGCTTCAGTTTGGATTCTCTACATCTATAATAGTTGACTAAAACTTTAGCTCCGAGGCATTATCAGATGTATTGCATGCTTTGGCATACTAGATGCAAAAGTTAATTTATAGGTTGTGTTTACCTGCACGAGCTACAATGACAGGTTGTTTTTCTTTCACTTTACAGAGATCACCATCAGCAGAGCCTAATTAATGATATTTTGTCTATAATGAGTGATATTATAGACGAAGAAACAACTTCTTCAGTTGTAGATGTAATTCTGCAAAATCTTGTACAGGAGGGAAAGGTATGTATATTAGGAAATTATCTTGTTGAGTAATCAGTTTCATAATTCTGGGATGATGACTTTTATTTTTCTCCTCCTAGGATTTGACTTCTGCTGCTAGTAACCTCGCCAGTTCTCTCATCCAAAGCTGTGCCGACAAGCTTGAGCCTTTCATTTGCAGCATTTTGGCATCCTGTTTTATGGAGGAAGATGCCTCCAGGAGCAGTTTCAAAGAGTCTTATCATGAAATTATATTTAAGATCTCCCAATGTGCTCCACAGATATTGCTAGCTGTAACCCCAAACTTGACACAAGAACTACTGGTATTTGCATCATTGCTTAAACTTTGTTTCCTATAGAGTTCCTTGATGTCTTTTTTTTTTCAGGTATATATTTACTGTTTAGTCTATTGGTAATTGATCAGATGTGTTATTTTCTCTGTTTGCAGACTGATCAGGTCGATGTTCGAATGAAAGCCCTTAGCTTAACTGGAAAGATTTTTGCACTTCCCAAAAACTGTTTTGCAGAGATGTACCGAGATCTTTTTGGCGAGTTCTTGAAAAGATTCTCAGATAAATCTGCGGAAGTCAGAATGGCTGCATTAAAATGTGGCAAACAGTGCTATGTGGTTAATCCATCTGGGACAGAAGCATCTGAAATTTTAAGTAATATTTCCTGGAGGCCTTTTTTGGACTTTTTTTTATTCATTTCTGACAATCTGCTAATCATTTTCGTGTCCTTTATTTGCTCTTTGATCTGTCAGCTGCAATCCAAGAACGATTACTAGATTTCGATGATAGGGTGAGAACGCAAGCACTGATTGTTGCTTGTGACATTGTCAAGTTAAATATGAAATATGCTTCAGTGAATCTGATATCCGAAGCGATTGAAAGGCTTCGGGATAAGAAGGTATTCCACTTTATAAGGCATAACCAAGGCATCTCAGTGTTTTTCAAAATTTAGTGGTAATCTTTTTCTTAATTTTGCATGTGTGAAATAGATATCTATCAGGAAGAAGGCCTTGCAGAAGTTGACTGAAGTATATCGAGACTATTGTGACAAGTGCTCAGAAGGCTACATGACAATAAGTGACCAATTTGAGCAAATTCCTTGTAAAATTCTACTTCTTTGCTGTGATAAAGATTGTAAAGAATTCAGGTACTATACTTTTCTTGTTACCGCCACTAACGCTTGAAAAGAAAGTCATTGTTTCTTGAGAAACTGATGAAAAGTCTTTGTTTCTTAAGAAACTGATGAAGGTCCTTGAATCATATAGGCCCCAAAATATGGAGCTTGTACTGTCAGATGATCTATTTCCTTGCCTTCTTCCAGTTGAGGAGAGGATGCGACATTGGATCCATTTGTTTTCTGTTATGAGTCCTCTTCACATGAAATCACTAAATTCAATTTTGTCTCAGAAGAGAAGGTAGACCTTGAACTATACTGTCAAGGTTGAGTAAAAGAATATCTTCTTATTCAATCACTTTCCAGGTTGCAAAACGAAATGCAGCACTTCTTGGATTTCTGGAAGGAAGAGAAAGAGAAGGTCTTATTTAAGTTTATTCTTTGCTTTTAGTGTGATGCAGATTGTGAGGGCTTCACAGACCTCAAAATTTTCATTCTATAGATTCTAATGTGATGTTTGCTGTAGGATTATGATGTGGACAATTTGAAGAGACATCATGATAACTCTATTGAAAAGATGTCAACTTGCTTTCTGGATCCGCTAAAGGCTGAAGAGTCCTTTCACAAGTTAGTTCAAATGAGGGACAAGCCAACTCTTGATGCTTTAACTCGGTTGCTAAATGAACTGGAATTCTCAAATGCGCAGATTATCAGAGTAAGCCTTACGATTTTTGTGTCATCATATAAATCTTTTCTTGCTGTAAAATTTATGTTTGATCTCTTCATATCATTAAATTTTCTGGACCACCTCTACTGTCCATGCTTAATCTGTTCAAATCTTCTTTATAACATTGTTTATTTGCATTGTTTTTGTTTTGTTATGTCATACCTTCTCTATTTTGCTTGAGTAAGGGCACGTCTGCTGGAAATTTGGAAAGTCAAATCATTTATTCCGTAAGCAGAAAAAGGAAAGTATGGTTGCTTTCTCTGTCTGGTTAATTTCTCCTTCATATTTTCAGGATAATTTTCTTAGAACGATAGCTGATAAGCATCCTCTTCACGAGTTTCTACACATACTTTGTACAAAATGCTCCTCTAGCATATTTAGTTCAGAGCATGTGCAGTATCTTCTCAATCAGCTTTGTTGCTTCAGCTCAGGGAACATGCATTTGAAGGATTCTTCCATGAAACTTCTTCTGGTAAGAACAAATGGCGTAAATGATACTGGCATCTTTATATAATTATCCCCGTTCTTTTGCTAACATGAATGAGTTTCCTCAGACTAATTCAAAAGCTATTCTTCCGTCTTGCATTTCATTTGTACTTGTTGACGGCTTTTAATGATCCAGTTTAGATTCCTCTATTTTGATTATATTTGCAATAAAATCTATGCTTTTCTTTAAGGTTAGGTAGGTAATGTTTGCATATTTTAGTGTGGCAGATATCATTTGCATACATGAATAAAACCCAGTAACTGCTGTTCTGAATTCAGGTTATCCTCAACATGTTCCCTTCTTATCTGAGAGGTTCAGAAGAGCCGTTTCTCAAGGTATTAGAGGAGAATGAATCTGTTTCTGAAGAGCTAACTGAAGTTATATCAAAAGCAGCTCCTCATATATCCATCAAATTCAGGTAATTTCTGCAGCATTCTTTGATTTGTTTCTTGTCAGGTTTAAGATTTCATTATCTTTGGCATACCTGTAACCTAATAACCTGGAATATGAGGCTATTCGAAAGTATGCTTGTCAAGTTTGAGAAAGTCATTTACAGCAATCAGTAAGCTTTCGGTGAGAGTTTTGATTTGATACTTCTAGTGTTTCTTCAAACATGAAGTAGTCTTTGTGATTTATTTTCTTCTGTATTGATTTTTTATGGCTATTATCCTCATCACAGATTATTGATAAGGCATTTTTTGCCTTTGCAGTGACTTTCACCCTCTTCTGGAGAGGATCTGTGTGAACGGTACTCGCTCCCAAGCGAAATGTGCAGTCTCTGCTCTTGCTGCATTGATTGGACCATCAGAGAAATTTGTCTTCTCTGAATTATGCGAGGTTAGCTATCTTTTCTCTGCTACCTTCTATTGTTTTAATTCTTTTATTTTGTTGATGGTTTCCCTTTGAAAGGACAATTGGTTTTACAATTGATTGTGTTCACTTTATCTATATCCAGGTCCTCTTAGATTCTTTGCAGTGTGGGCGGAACATTCCAACAATATTGCAATCTTTGGGATGTATTGGGCAATATTCGGTTTCAGTATTTGAAACTATATATGGAGACATCAGAAGCTATGTATATCAGGTTTTTCAAGTAAGTAGCATGAAATATGGGAATGTTTGTGTATCCTTGGAAACGATGGTGGAGATAATCAAGCATGTTTTTGTTTCTTATAAACCTTCACAGGCAGAACCATCAGACAATCAACCTCCTTGTGATCAGTCTTCTGGTTGTTGTAATTCTTGCAAACTAAAGGCAAGTGCTGGGAACATAGATATTTTGCTTTTATTTTCCATATGATTTTTTGCGAAAACATTATCCATTTTGATGGGTCTACAAAGAAGAGATTTTGGTTATATGACTCTATGCTCTTTCAGATTCGTTAACGAAGACAATAGCATTTGATCATTTAAACAAGTTTTTTGGGTGCTTAGGAAGAAGTTCAGCTTTTTCTCATTCCTTCCTGCTGTGATTTTTTTAGGGTAAATACGTTTTGGAAAAATTCATTCTTAGCAATGTGGCTAAGAATGGCGCCGTTTTTTTATTTGTTAAGACACGCATGGGAAGTGTGCCTTGAGTTTTTTTATGATTTTTAAAATACAACTCAAGTTCTTAAAGATTTCTCCGTTAAGGATGATTCTTGTGGCTCTAGTTTTAACTTAACGTCCTTGGCAGATATATGGGCTGAAAACACTTGTGAAGAGTTTCTTGCCTCATCGGGATCAAGTCACTAGGAAAATTGATGGTTTGTTAAATCTTTTGGCTAAAACATTGAAGTCACAGGGACATGGTGGCATGGTGTCATGGTATGGACTTTTGAATTGTTTTGCTAATTATTCATGCATATGACTGGGTTCCAAAGACAATGAAATATGATTACTGCAAATTCTACCCAAAAAACAGCCCCCTAAAAAGGCAAAAAGAAAAAACTTCATATGTTTATTGCTGTATGCTTGTATGAACTGAAGAACCAGTAAAACTTTGTTCTTTGTATATGCTGATTCGTACAAAATGCATTGTATATACTTCTCATATACTTTTGATGGCCTTATTTGCAAACAATGATTTACAGTGAGCATTGTGGAGCTTTTGTTAGACTGGCTGCTGCTAAAGCTGTTCTCCGGCTTTCAAGAAAATGGGACCTACATATTTCTCCTGAAGTATTTCATCTTACCATCTCGTTGGCAAAGGTAAGTGAATCAGATCTAGCGCTACGAAAGGTGAAAAAATTTGTAGACAAAATCTTGAATAGATTCCTGGCACACACACACACACAAATTGGCTGTCTGTTGTCATGGAGAATAAAATTTGTTGCTAACTGATTATATGATATGAGTTGATTATTAAAAAAATTCTATGGTCGGAATTTTGTTACTCTTGAAAGTATCTATGTATCTTATAGGCAGGTGATAAGGATCTGAAAGTAGGCTCATTAAATCACATTTATGGTCATTTATTCCTCAAGAGGGGTGACCGTTTTGGTAATTGACCATCTCTTAGCCAATGTGGTCTGTTGGTTTTTAGTTGGTAATTGAGGTTTTTCTAACAGAGTCGGTCTTGTTTGCCTTTTTATGTGGTGCACCTATTTGTCTTTCTGACCAGTTGTCTTTTTGTCTTATGTCAGGACTCTGATGCCGCTATTAGCAGATCATTTCTGGACAAAGTACATAAGTTACTAAAAGAACATATCATACCCAGTAGATATGCATGTGCCTTTTCATTCGCTATTTGTGGCCCCAACAAGGATCTACAGGATGATGTAACTTGCTTATGTTTCAATTCCTTTCTTCTTGGGAACGCCCATGAATTTTCTTATCCCTATTACCGTTAAGGTTCACTGATAGTTTCCTTGTCTTTTTGGTTCAGTCATTAAGATACTTGAAAGAATTCATCAAGGCTTCCAGCAAAAGAGCTCAAGCGCATCAAGATTCTTCAAGTCGAGGAGGATCACTAACTGATTCTCCGGCTTACATGATAGTATTCTTGATCCATGTTCTTGCACATGATCCAGATTTCCCTTCTGAAGACTGCACTGATGAACATGTCTTTTCTTGGTTTTGTTGGTAAAAATCCTCTTTGGTTCTTCCCACTGATGTTGGTCTTAAATTGGTTTGTTGTCCTAACTTTTTATCTTTCTGCAGTCCTCTATTCTCAGCCTTACATGTGCTACTTAGCACCAATGACATTGATTCTGACACGGATCATGCCAAAGAAGCTGTCCTCTACTTGCTTTGTATCTTCCGTGCAGTTAAAAGAGCTGAAGATGTTGTTGATATACATAGGACTCCAGTAAGTTCTTGATGTCAATTCTGAATAATAATTAATGCTTCTCTATCTGCCATCTAAATCTGGAGTCATCCTTTACTGTAGAGGCTGCATGTTCTAGCTGATATTGGTTTCTCAGCAGTAAAGGCATTAAATCGTAACATGATATCTTCTCCACAAGCTCCTCGTTCAGTTTTGCTGCCTTCATCATTATACAGATTAGGCCTCACTAACATGTCAGATAATCAGGTCAGTTAGTCTATTGTCTCAAGACTTGTTAGCTCGTAGCATTTACTGACCTCTTTGGAATTTTTTTGGGCGCAGGAAAATGTGAAGTATTACATCCCGATTGCTTTGCAACAGAGTTTCATTGAGAAAGTAATTCACATTTTTCAGTCGCAGATCTCCTCGGTATGTTCACAAATTGCGTTTTCATGGTTCTTGTGCACTTCGCCCTGTTAAGCTTCTGCTGTATAAGGTTTTCTAACTTTTCTTTTTCCTTGTACTGTTTCAGTCAACTTCGACTCTATCCAAGCATGCTCAGAAGTGTCAAGAGGATAATATGCAAATCAATCAGAAGGATAAAAACTTGGCTTTGGTATTGTGCAATATGGTTGAGACCTCAACAAATGATGGAACAGAAAACAACAAAAATGATTCAAGGTGCAGCAGGAAGCGTTCACATTTAGCATTTTCCAAACATTGTGCTACTTCCACTGAGCAGAAAAATCCATCATCTAAAAGTAAGAGGTCTAAAACAGTAGAGCAAAAAAAATTTTCTTCATCTAGTTCGATAGTTTTGAGCTCTGTTGATTCGGGACTTCCCATCAAGAAACTGGAAAGACATAGAAACTCAAAGGACAATGTTGGAAGAAGTGGTAGCCATGATGCTATATCATCCAAAGACTTCCGTGCCAAATCGAGGGTAACATCTGCTTTGAAGGTGAATATATTGAGCTGCAGCATTTAGATGTTTATATAATCATTGATTTTCTGGCCATGACATTGGTTGTTGAATTTCATAGGACATCAGCAATCAAGGCAAAGAAATTATTGGGCAGCGGATCAGATTACTCTCTCCTACTGATGGATGGTAGGAGAACTTTAAGTCTACTTAAAACATTGATTGAGTTTATGTAATAATTTTAACCTTTTTATCAGTTTCTATTCGGGCACTGTTGAGGGGTTTAATTCTAAAAGTAACTCTCACAAGGTATGCTTTCATCTTCCTTCTCTTTGTTTTTCGTTTCCTTTTTTTGTGGTAACATGCTATCATCTTCTATGCTCATATTGTTTTCCTTTTATTGTTTAATTGTTTTCCATTCACCCGAGTCTAAGTGGATGAAAATGAGTGATGGGAATTGTGGCTTGTAGTTATTCTTCCTTTTTAATGATTCTGGAAACATTGCCATAGAATTCAAAGAATGTATATCTTGGCATGGCTTGTTTTGTTCGCTTCATTGCCTTTCACCTACGCCACATTACCTAATGGATTTGAGTTTTTTGATCGTTACAGATTGCTTACGACAATGGGGATGTTGAATTGGTTTGCTTGAGTAGTGAGAGCTGGGAGGCTCTGAGCCAAGGACCTTTGGAGGACAAGGTACAATTAATTGCCTGTCTCATATGTACAGTTCATGTTCAGAATAGACGTGATTTTTTTTTGTCTTTTTTTTCAGTAGTTATGCTGATTATCCCTAACGGTTCCTGCCGTTCTTCTGTGATTGAAGGACATGTTGGGAAAGAAGGCAGAATCTTTAGGATCTGGGAATCTGTAAGTTGCTTTTCTTGGATCTCTGCATGTCTGATAGCATGAAGTCATTTCCACATGTTAGATTTGAGATTTTGATTGTAACAGTTTTTATTTTCTATACCTCTTATATTCATCTTCGTCAACAGTTTTTACTCATAAACCTACTAATGTATTAATGATCCCCCAAACTTTTGTTCTTGCTATAGCCTCAGTCAAAATCTTCAGACAAGATCAAAAGTTACTGCGCAGAAGCAGAAATCCTTAACCAAGAAGCAGAACAGAAAGTTGCCTACCAAAGTCTCCCAGGTGGTAAGTGTGCCACAAACTAACAAAACGAGGCAAACTTCTCACGTGTCTTCGAATATGAAACTGTGGATTCTGATTCATTAGCACCGAGTTTATCTGTTGAAAAGAAAAACTGATGGAATTATGGAACTCGTCGGTTCATGAAGCATATTAGATCCAGAGCATGATGATATATGTGTTACCAATTTGTTCTTTCTCTGTTAATTTGCCAAAATCCTTCATTGTGGCTGCTGAAGCATAGATTCCGAGCTTTAATGGACATTTTCTGTATTTCCTTGTTTGTTTGCTCGGGGCGATGAATACATTTTCATTGATGCTTATGTTCATCTATCTAATTTTCGTAACTCGTTTCACTCTGAATGATCATTGTCTTCTGCATAATTTGCTTATGTGTTTTCAGGACTGAGCAGAAGAACTCGGCTACTGATATTTCTTCTTACACACATGAATGAAGCTAACTCAAGAGGATGCTCCTCAGATGCATATATGTTGCTGTTTATTCTTGCTTTCTTACAACATTTGTTCATGTTTCACTCTTATGTAAGAAGGGAGATGAGGACAAGGTTGTGAATCTCGCTGATGAAATAACATGGTTGTTTATTTTACCCCAAAAAAATATGGTTATTTTATTTTATTTTATTTTGACATTTATCTCCAGTGGTGATTGTGAATTTTGTATTTGCTTTCCATTTTTTAATATAATACTTTAAAATAAATGACTTGGTCTAATTGTAATTTAATAACTCAAAAAAAATGTAAAAGACTAAAAGAGAGTCAACTTTATTATTATTATTATTATTATTATTGTTATTATTATTGTTGATGCTTTGGGCAGAAAATGAAATTCGAATTTAGCAAAAATAAAAATAGAAATAAAATATATGAGGTTAAACTTTTGGAATAAGGTATGAAATATATGAAGAGAAGAATTTGTGCATGAAAATTGGGGAACCAATTGGAAAAGGCTATATGCATGGCACTTGGCAACATCTTGGTCTCGCTCCACCACACCCGTCCATTCTTCTCTGTCAATATTCCAACGGCTCAGATCTCTCTTCAAATATCCACGTGTATGGTCCTGCATCTTTCTAAAATTAATTATTATTCGCATAAAATAATAATTAAAGTACCAAAATACAACAAAAAAACTGTATTCTTCGTCTTCCGCTTCCCCTCTCCCTCTCGACGGCTCCGCCTCAGTCTCAGAGACCTTGCGTGGTTGCTTTCGCGGCGGATTTAGGGATTATCCGGAGATCTCAGATTTTGAATCTGTCTTCCTCAGGTATATATTTCCGACGACGGAGTTCTTTTGCGCCTCGATCCACCTGGTTTGGATCACGGTGTATTCCTTCAGTTCCTTCTGCTTTTCTTTTTGTCTTCGTGGAGATTTAATCCTTTTAATGTTCTCTCTTCAAGGCCTGATTACTCTGTTTGATTCTCTGACTTTTCCTTTTTTTAGGGGTCTTTTCTATGTTTACAGTCATCGGTTTCAATCAACTGAAATGACAGTGCTTAGTTCATGAAAAAACTCTGCTTTTGGTGAATGTTATTCCTTTTTTTTGTGAATATGGTCACGAATGCGTGCCATTGATGCTAAATGAAGTGGGGTTTGTTCCATGTTCTAATGGGTAATGGGCTTTGCTTGCTGTGATGGTGTATTTGAAGGGCAGGAGTTGCATTATTTATTACGGTTTCTGGTTGGTGAATCCTTTGCAAGATGACTCCATATATTGCCGGCGTGGTCGTGCCTCTAGTTTTCACGCTTCTGATTCGAAATTCAAAGAAAGGGAAGAAAAGAGGTGTGCCTGTTAATGTTGGTGGGGAACCTGGGTATGCCATCAGGAACCACCGGTTCAGCGAGCCGGTTAGTTCCCATTGGGAAGGGATCTCTACACTTGCTGAACTCTTTGAGCAATCGTGTAAGGCTCATGCCGATCAGTTGTTTCTTGGAACCCGGAAACTGATCTCTAGAGAGGTCGAGGTTACAGCAGATGGAAAGTCATTTGAGAAGCTTCATTTAGGAGATTACGAGTGGCTAACTTTCGGGAAAACATTTGAAACTGTCTGTAATTTTGCTTCTGGTTTGGCTCAACTCGGACACAAGAAGGAAGAACGCGTCGCGATCTTTGCAGATACTAGAGAAGAGTGGTTCATCGCCCTACAGGTGCTTTGGTTTTTCTTTTCTTTGTGATGCAAGAATTTGAAAGCATTTTGGCAATGCAGCTGTCTAAAACAAGTTGTGATCTTACTGTCAACAGGGCTGCTTTAGGCGTAATGTCACCGTGGTAACTATTTATGCGTCTCTAGGAGAGGAAGCTCTTTGTCATTCACTCAATGAGGTAGTCCCTCCATGCCCTCCCTTTTTCGTTTCACTTTGATATGTCCTAAATGTCCTAAATGTTTAGGACACCTATGCAGTAACATAAATCATATATGTCCTAAATGTTTACACTTTCTCTTGCTGGCTTGTCTTCTTACTTGTTTCTGAATTTCGGTGGTAAGATAAACATTCTTGCGTAAGGTATGACATGTGATTCAAAGTTACAAGTGATCAACCACATCTTGTCATAAATCATGTTGTACTCTCTTCTCTTCATATTTTACAAGCTGTGCCCGACTTTATATGAAGCCGAGCTCTTTATTTATCAATGCATTAACAACCAAAATAAATGACCTCTGAATTTATGTGTCAACTTCTGGAACTTCCAGTTTCCACCATTCTCATTGTTTTACACTGAGCATATGAACTTTTTATGGAATTTCTGGAACTTCCTGTTTCCACCATTCTCATTGTGCTAATTTATGTGATACAAACTATCTAGTTTATGATTTCTTTTCCTTTCGTTTTAGACAGAGGTCACAACAGTAATATGCGGCGGCAAAGAACTCAAAAAGCTCATAGACATAAGTCAACAGCTTGAAACTGTGAAACGGGTGATATGCATGGATGATGAGATCCAATCTAATGTAACTCCTGGTTGGAAGGCTACTTCCTTTGCTGATGTTGAGAAACTTGGCCGGGAGAATCCTGTGGATCCTGATTTTCCTCTTTCAGCTGATGTTGCTGTTATAATGTACACCAGTGGGAGTACCGGGCTGCCTAAGGTCAGAAGAACATGAAAAAAAACTGCTTAAACCTCTTTTTTCTTCTTTTTTTTTTTTTTTTTGAGTTTCAGGATCTTGTGGCATGTGTTCTTGGTGTCTTTCAAACTATCCAATCAGCTTATGAAAATTATTGTTATGAAATTATTCTATTTGTTTCTCCATTTCCTGTATCTATAGGGTGTTATGATGACGCATGGTAATGTCCTAGCTACGGTTTCAGCAGTGATGACTATTGTTCCTGACCTTGGGAAAAAGGATATATACATGGCATATTTACCTTTGGCTCACATCCTTGAGCTAGCAGCTGAGGTATCTCAAATTTTATTGTTCATTGTATATGTTTCAGCATTTCCAATTTTAGATTGTTTGAGCATGTTCTCTTGTCAATATTTCAGAGTTGTATGGCTGCAATCGGGAGTGCTATAGGATATGGGTCACCTTTGACTCTAACTGATACATCAAACAAGGTTAAAAAGGGTACTAAGGGGGATGCAACGGTACTAAAGCCCACTATAATGACAGCTGTACCAGCCATTCTTGACCGTGTCCGGGATGGTGTGCGTAAAAAGGTTTGTCATTCTCAAGAACACATCAGAATTATTTAGTCGGTTTTCCCTACTGCAAAGCATTTGTCTTTTCCATGTTAGTTGTTTTAATGAATTGGCCGGCTGGGAGCAACCTAAGATGCACTAATTAGTTCCTTCATCTTCTTTCCCACTTGGATGTAGCATTGATTTGCATTTGGCACTGACAATGGCTTGCTTTAGGTCGATGCAAAGGGCGGATTGTCGAAGAAATTGTTTGACTTTGCATATGCTCGTCGATTATATGCAATGAATGGAAGTTGGTTTGGAGCATGGGGATTGGAGAAATACCTCTGGAACCTCCTTGTGTTCAGTAAGGTTCGGGCTATATTGGGAGGCCGTATCCGCTATTTGCTCTCTGGCGGTGCCCCTCTTTCTGGTGACACACAGAGATTCATAAACATTTGCCTTGGGTTAGTAGCATCCTGGACATGTTTTTTTCCTTTTCTGTTTCTTCAAGAATTTCATTCTCATTCATGGTTGCCCTTTCTTTTTCCCCTTTCTGTTTGTGTGTCCTAACTTACCGATATTCTTCAGGGCTCCAATTGGTCAGGGGTATGGGCTCACAGAGACTTGTGCTGGTGGCACCTTCTCTGAGTTTGATGATACATCCGTTGGCCGTGTTGGTGCTCCACTTCCTTGCTCCTACGTTAAGGTAAATGTTGAATGGTTTTATTTCCATGTGTAAACTAATATCAACTTTGAGATCGAGGCATTAACATTTAACAGTTAAGCAATCTTCGTGATCGGTTACTCATCCCAGTGTTGCGGTTTAACATTTCTGTGTGTAGATTGGTCTGTTCTGATTATATATCTGTATCTTGTTTCAGCTATTAGATTGGCCTGAAGGTGGGTATCTAACCAGCGATCAACCAATGCCCCGTGGAGAAATTGTAATCGGTGGTCCAAATGTCACACTTGGATATTTCAAGAATGAAGAGAAAACTCGAGAAGTATACAAGGTGGGACATCTATATTCTAGGTTTCTGCAATGCTGAAATGGTTTGTTTTTTATTTTAACATTTTCTAAGGTTTATGTCTCAAAGGTTGACGAAACCAGAATGAGGTGGTTCTACACTGGAGACATTGGACAATTTCACTCGGATGGCTGCCTTGAGATAATAGACCGGAAAAAGGACATCGTTAAACTTCAGCACGGGGAATACGTCTCCTTGGGCAAAGTATATAGTCTTCTCAACTCGAGCATTTACTTTCAATCCTTTACAGCTCTTCAGTTAAGCTTATAATGTAAAAACTGGCATTATAATGTCTTTGCAGGTTGAGGCTGCTCTTAGTGTATGTCCCTACGTGGACAATATCATGGTACATGCCGATCCATTTCATAGTTATTGCGTAGCTCTTGTGGTTGCCTCCCAGCATAGTCTGGAAGATTGGGCCTCAAAGCAGGGGATCACTTACACTAACTTTGAGGAATTGTGTGAGAAAGGAGAAACTGTGAAAGAAGTCTCTGCATCTCTTGTCAAGGTATGTTCCCCTGTCATAAGAACACTTGCCCATCATAATCATCATCATCATCATCATCATCATGTTAATGGCAGGCGGCTAAGCAAGCGCGGTTGGAGAAGTTTGAGATACCGGGGAAGATAAAGTTACTCGCGACGCCATGGACACCTGAGTCTGGTTTGGTCACTGCTGCTTTAAAGCTCAAGAGAGATGTTATCAGAAAGGAGTTCTCAGAGGATCTTTCTAAGTTATATGCCTCAAAGTGAGTTTTCCTTCTTCTTCTTTGAAGCAACCAGCCAAAGACATTTATCTTTTCTCATCATCATCATCATCATCATCATCATCATCATCCTCTTGTCATAATAACTGTTGGTTACTGAATACTAGCAAGATAAAAGAGATGGCTATTTCAGCATTTGGTGCTTATAACTTTGGTTTTGAGACACTAAAAATGATGGAATTTAGGTTTCAAAAAGGTAATAATTATTTTCTGAGGAGACAATTGTGAGGGGGAAAAAGAAGTGTGTGACCCACAAAGAAGTGCCCCCATACCATTTGTATTAGAAAAATCACATTATGGGAACATGACTTTGAAGCCAACCTAAATATCCCCATTCCTCCCATGTGATCATTGTTCTTGGCTTTGTTTTTACTTTCACTCTTTCCACTGCTTCTTTTTTCATGTACTTATTATATATATATATATATGGCTTGTGTATGTGATAAAAAAAAAAGATATGGAAATAGTTTCCTCTTTCTGGCATTAATTATCCCCATCTTTTCTCAAAACCCCATTCCCAATTCCCCATTGACCAAAGACTTATGTAGTACCCTCCAAACCCCATTAATTACAATTTATTATTATTACTAATTAGTCAATTTTCCTTGGATTTTTCAACTTTTTAGTGAATTCTTGATAGCCCTTGATAATTGTTTGGCCCACAATTTGTAATATGGTATAAAATATAGTGTATGACACAATTCACCCCCTTCAAGTAAGTTGCTCTGTACCACTTGTGTAAAATATTCTTGGCAATCTATCTTTCACAATGGTGTGTGTGTGTATATACACACATCACAGACTTGCCTGTATAGGACAATGTACATAACCCACCTCAACTAGTGAAAACCATCTATGTATATATATACACACACATACACATAGCTCTGTATAATCACATTTTTTTTTTAAATTTCAAAGGCATGGCAATTTTTCCACCCTTTGTGAGTAATTGATTATTGAGTACAGGGTAAGAGGACAGGGTACAATGAAGTCATGAATTGAACAGTGTTTCATGTAATGCAAATTGCAATGATGCTCATGAAAAAAAAAACATCTCACTACACTTTGTCACTATCAAAGTTTGCTTTAGGGTTATTATCATTATTATTATTATTATTATTGCTCTTTAGATATTGTAAGCTTTGTTCTTAGGGTTTTTGATCATGTGAAAACGCTGACAATCTTGACCAACAATGGACCCCATGATCATAATAATAATAATAAATCACACCCAACCCCTCCTATTTTTTAATTAACTTCCTGCCCCCCAAAACTCTTTCCATTTACACTATTTCCTAATAATTGCATGTGTAGACAAAGCTTCCTATATGAGAAGTTTTTTTTTTGTAATTGTCCGGGAACAAATTTTGCAAAAAATGCTTAATTTTATCAGAAGATATTTTGTATTATACTTAATTATTTAAGAACAATAAAGTCAAATACCTCTTATAAATTAAAAAAAATGATTAGGAGATTATAAGGATATTTGACTATATTTTAAAATGATGTCATGGAATTAAAGATTTTATTTTTACAATTTGAAATTAATAAAGCTAATTACTCTATTACCACATTCCTTTTTTGACATAGAAACCCGCAAAAAGACTTCTATGTTTGGCGCTTTGCAAAAACCAATAAAGCTTTTGACAAATCAACTAAAAACTTCATAAAACAAAAAGGTGTTTTTTAAAAAAACACAAAGTTGTCTAATTTGAAGAAGAAGAAAAAGTGGGTTTAATTGTGTTTTAGCAAAGCAATGCTCTTTCTTCTTATAATTGGGCGGAAAGAACTTTGGTTGGAGACAAATAGAGAGAATTTGGGATCAATTTCCAAGAAGATTGCAGTGGCAAGAAGATGCATCAAACCCTAAGATCAATCTGATCTTGTTTCTCCCTAAGAAGAAAGAATTACAAACGAAGATATTGTCTTGATAAAGGCAACTTACCCATGTGGGAGTGGTTTAAAACTTTAAATTAGGGTTTGAATGTTTTGGAGATGTAAAATCTAATCGAACTAAATTGATTAACATCTAATTAATTGTACTTGGAACGAATTTGATCGATTGGATACGACGAAAATATTTTTTTAAAAAAAATATTTTTAGTGAAATTTGAATCCAAAATTAAATTCGAAGGATACACCCGAAAATTTGAACGTGAAAATTATGTAACCGAAATCAAATTAAAACCCGAAATATCAATCCCTAATTCAAAACAGACAATTAATGATGTTATGTACATGAACTAGTGAATTTATAACACCCCATTTGGACTAAACCTTTTAACCCAATCTTAATATGCATGTGATTTTGATAATGTTTGAGATTTTTTCATATGGTTTTAGTAAAATACATCCCAAAAAAAGTTAAATAATATAACTTATCACACATATAGTAAGTAGACGTAAAATATGATATAATTATATGAAATTAATACATTCATGCAAAGGAGAATATATAAGTGGATGATGAGAATTGTTCGCGGATGTTGTAATGTAACAAACATAAAGAGTCTTTCCATCCAAAATAATCACCAAGACAATGTCGAAGATGCGCCGGTGGGTCCCATCTTATAACACAAAACACAGAATCATTTACTTTACAATTCCCTCCACAATTCTACACATTACAATCCAACACTTCGACCATTAGATTTTTTTTATATATATATTAATCCAGAAGTTAACCAAATTTTCGATCCAATTATATCTCCCAACATATCGGAAAAGTCCAAGTGAATATTCTTACTCAAATTTAATTTTGAACCCGGATTAAAAAAGAGCTTTGTTCAATTTCTTACATCATATTGAACCACTCAATCCTAACCGTTAGTTATTTTTCATACTTTATATATATACACACTAATCAATTTGTATATTTATTATAATGTATCTATCTATTTCTTAAAAGATATTTTTGATAAAGTATTTCTTAAAATATATTTCGAGAATATATCTTCATTTTAAATTCTCTAAGTGCATAACATATGTTTTCATAATGTTATAAACCTAGAATAAGTAATTAATTGTCTCTTTTATATTATATATATATATATACATATATATATATATATATATACGCAGCTAGTGGATAAGCTGTACTCTTGTATATAATGTATATATTTATCTCTAATGGTATAACAATCATGTTTTGTATGAAACTAACACATGTTTGTAAAAACAATATAGATATTATTGCATCCCGTACGTACCATGAACCGAAGGTTTGTATATTATAGAAACTATTTAGACCCTAGCAGGCCTCTCTCTCCCTCTCTCCCTCTCTCTCTCTCTCCCACTCTCTCTCTCTCTCTCTCAATTCAGAAAAGAGAGGAAGAGAACATGAACACGTACAGAGAAGAAAACTCAGCACATTGCTACTTCCACCCGAAGGAAGTCTACGTAGGGGTATGTCCCCTCTGTCTGAACGAGAGGCTTCTGGTGTTGGCTTCAAAGCAGAGCAAACACTCTCCGGCTTCTTCTTCTTCTTCTTCTCCATCCTCTGCAAGAGGAAACAACCTTAATCTCAGACGACGAAACCTAATCACTCTCCCAAAGATCTTCGCCTTCGGTTCTTTCCTCAATCGCCGTCACCGGAAATTCAATCTCTCCGGCGACCTCGACACCTCCACCAGCCAAGAAGGTTATAACCCTTATATATACACACACACATACACACATATATATACATATAATTTTATATGTGTGTGTATATCTTGTAGTAATGAACTCGAATCATATATATTCTAAGATCTTGATAATAAAAACCCAAAACATATGATATATCATCCAAAATATTTACTTGCACTTTTTTATATTAGTGATGGTGTTTGTTCTTATTTACTTGCTTTAATTTCTATCAAAGGGAGAGAAAAAAATTATTGACACGTACACACACACATTCACATGTAATAAATATATATACATACATATATATATATATATATATGTATGTCTGTGTATGACATCTGGTTGCAGTTTTTTTTTTGGGGGGGGGGG